TGACGGAATTCTAGCATTTTAAAAAAAAAAATTAAAAAAAAAACTAAACCCTAAAAAAGGCCCCTAGCCCTTTTCTCTCTCCTCTCCTCCTCCCTCTCCGCGTCTCTTTCTCTCTCCTCTCCTCTCTTCTCTTCTTCTCTTTCTCTCTCCTCTCCTCTATTCTTTCCCCTTTTTTTTTCTCATTTTCCTTCTCCTCATTCTCCGTTCTTTCCCCTTTCCTCTTTCTTTCCCCTTCTGTTTTTCTCATTTTCCTTCTCTATCTTCTTCGATCTCCTCTTCATGGATCTCCTCCTTCTCTCCTCCTCTTTCCCCTTTTTTGACCACTCTAATGGCGACACAACAACGACAACAACCACACCATCGCGCAAGGACAACAACAACCACACCAGCAGCAACGACACCACCGCAACGATAACGACACCAGCACGCAGCAACGACAACAACAACAACATTTAGATCTAGTTTTTTTTTTAAACAATTCTGATTATAATTAATTTTTGATATAATTATAATGTTTTTTTTATTAATTTCAGAAGATAATTGTATATTTTATATATTTTGTTCGATTTCAATTGGTTTTGTTTATTTTTTTCGATTTTTTGGTTTGGATATGGGTTTGGTTTATTCGGATTTTGGGTTTTTGTTTCGAGTTGGTTTGTACGATTTGGGTGTTCTGGATTTTTTTTGCGTTTTTTCGATTTTTTTTCTTTTTTTCTCGGTGGGTGGGTTAGGCGGTTGGTTAGGTGGTCTGGGTGGGTGTGGTGGTTGTTTTTTCTGGGCATGTGGGGTAGATGAAGTACGGTGGGGTGGGTGGGTGTGGGTGGGGTGGTCTGGGGGTTGTTCTGGGCAGGTGGGGTGGGTGTGGGTGGGGGTTGGTCTGGGCAGGGTGGGGGTGGGGGTTGTTCTGGGGAGGTGGGGTGGGTGTGGGTGGGGGTGGTCTGGGTGGGTGTGGGTGGGGGTTGTTCTGGGCAGGGTGGGGTGGGTGTGGGTGGGGGTTGTTCTGGGCAGGTGGGGTGGGTGTGGGTGGGGGTTTTTCTGGGCAGGGTGGGGCTTTTTTTTTTATTTTTTTTTATACCTTTTCCGACGAAAAATTCCGTCGGAAACCTCTCCAACTCCGACGGAAATTTTCGTCGAAACATTGCGACGGATTTTCAAATAAAGTCAAAAAAAGCGCCGACAGAAATAAATCCGTTGGAAATTCCGCCGGAAACTAGCCTTCCGACGGAATTTCCGTCGGAAAAGGTCGAATTTCCTAGGTCGAATTTCCTACAAAGGTCGAATTTCCTACAAAGGTCGGATTTTTTCCGTCGGAATCAAGCTGTTTTCTTGTAGGTACGACAATCTTGGTGGAGACGGCGTCGGTGGTGGCTGCAAAATAAGGGTGGTCGAGGAAATTAATTCATTAAAAATTAAAAAAGAAAGGGGGAAAGTAGGAGGACTTACCGGAAGTTTCAGTAGGGGGAAAGGGTGGTGGTTCTGGTCGCGGCGACGGAGGGGAGGAGGTCGGAGGTAGCTTGGTGGATGTGGCTGCGAAGAGGTAGTATAGTTAGGTTTTAGCGGTACTTTTAAATAATTAAAAAAAAAAAAAAAAAAAACAACAACAACAACAACAACACTAACCTCGCGGCGGCGTCAGGGGCGGCAGAAGGTGGTTCTGGTCGCACCGATGAAGGAGAACGGGGGTGGCTGTAGACATGGTGGTTCTGGTTAGGGATCCGACCGAAAAAATCAAAGTAAAAAACAAAAACAAAATGCACTACACTTACCCAACGACGGCCAAGGAATAACGGCAATGTAAGGCCAGTGGTTGCGGTAGCGGATCTGGTGGTCGTCGGTCTTCCTCTTTCTCTTTTTCTTCCTTTCTCTTCCTCTTTCTATTTCTATTTCTCTTTCTCCTTTTCTGTTTCTATTTCGACAAATGCATAAATTAGAAATCAAGCATTGTTTTTTTTTTTGTAGTTCTGACGGAAATAATTTATGTCGGAACTTAATATTTCCAACGGAATATTCCGTCGAAATATATTTTCTGAGGGAATATTCCGTCGAAAGTATTAATTTTCGACAGAAATTAATTCTGTCGGAAAATTTACGAGGGATATTCCGTCAGAAAGTTGGTATTCCGATGGAATTTTTCGACGAATTATATTTCCTTGGAAAATTCAAAATTTCCGATAGAAATTTTGGTCCGTCAGAGTGTTTCCGTCGGAAATCGGCCTATTTCTAGTAGTGCTTGAGGATATGGCTAGAACAATGCTGATTTCCAGTGGTTTACCTAGGAACTTCTAGACAGATGTAGGGAATACAACATGCTACATACTAAATAGAGTTACTGTTAGAGCCATCACCAACAAGACACCATATGAGAGGAAGAAAGCCTAATATTTCCTACTTTAGATCTTTTGGGTGTAGATGTTTTGTTCATAATAATGGTAAAAGAAACTTAGGTAAGTTTGATGAACGAAGTGATGAGGCTGTATTCTTAGGATATGCCTCAAATAGTAAAGCTTATAGAGTCTGTAATAAAAGAACAATGTGTGTTGAAGAATCTGTACATGTTATTTTTGATGAAACTGAACAATTGATTGATGCACAGGAAGGTGATGATGATTTTAAAATTGGACTTGTACGAAAGTATGATCCAAATGAGGAATCAACATCATTGCAGAAGCGACACTCTGAAAAGGAAGGTGAAACAAATCATGAAGCAAATGGGGAGAAAGCAACAGAGGAAGCATAAGAAACTGCACTCCAGATTCAAGAACAAGAGCAAGTGGAAGTTCTTGAAGAAGTTTAGAATGAAGCTCAAGGAGTAGTTCCAACAGAAGTTCCAGCCAACAATGCTACACAAGAGAGGACGTTTCCCATAAAAGACTTTCATCCCAAGTCTTGGAAACATCAAAAATCTCATCCAGTGGATGCAATTATAAGTGATATTGCTTAAGGAACTCAGACCAGATCTCAGCTTAGGAACTTTTGTGCATTCTATGCATTCCTATCCTCCATGGAACCTAAGAACCATGTTGAAGCTTTGACTGATGCAGACTGGATTAACGCTATGCAGGAAGAATCTAATGAGTTTGAAAGAAACAAAGTTTGGCATCTGGAACCTAGACCCAGTCATAAAAAGACTATAGGTCTCAAATGGGTGTACAGGAATCATTACAAGAAATAGGCCGGAATTTGGGTCTATCAGAAAATTCCGACGGAAAAGGTAAATTACGACAGAAATCCCTCGAAAATATTCCGACGGATTTTTTTTCCCTTGGAATTTACAGCTTCTGACGGAATATTCCGTCGGAAGCTGTAAATTCAGAGCGAAAAAATCCGTCGAAACAAATAAAACAAAAAAAAATTGAAAAACACCTAACCCTAAAAAACCGGAAAACCCCCTCCCCTTCATTTCTTTTCTCTCTCCTCTTCTCTCTCTCCGCCTCTCTTCTCTTTCTCTCTCCTCTCCTTTCCTCTTTCCTCTTATCTTTCTCTCTGAACTCCTCCCTCCTCTCTCCTTTGCCATTATCACTTCTCCTCTCTTCTTCTTCTCACTTCTCCTCTCTTCACCTTCTCCTTCTCACACCGCCGCTGCTGAACAAAACCTATTGTCGCTACGCAACACCACCACCGCCATTCTCGTCATTTCTCTTCTCCTTCTCCTTTGTTCCTTCTCGACGGTGTCCCATTGTTATTCAGGTCAAATTCGACCATGAAACCTCTAGATCTAGAGGTTTCATGATCGAATTTGGCCGTATTAAACATAATTCGATGAGAAATTAACATCCAATTTCGGTGTTAAGGTATGTTTTCTTGATTTTAATTTTCTTTCCTTTTTTTTTCTTTTTTATGTTAATTTTTGGGTTGTAATTGTGGTTTTCGTAGTAGTGGTGGTTGTGATTGGTTTTTTTTTTTTTTTTTTTTTTTTTTTTTTTTTTTTTTTTTTGTTAATTTTCGGCAATAGTGTGGTTGTGGTTTGGGGGTGTTTGGGTGGTAGATCTGGATTTCGGTTGGTTAGGATTAAGTGGGGGGGTTAAGGTGGTGGGTCCGGTTTGGTTAGGCTGGGTGGTTGGGGGGTTCGGTTAGGGTGGGGTTACTGGGTTGTGGTGGTGGGTTAAGGGAGGTGGGTTAAGGTAGGGGTACTGGGTAGGTACAGTTTTAGGTGGGGTGGGTACAGTTGGTGGGTGGAGATGGGGTTAGTTATGGTGGTCTAGTGGGTTAGGGTTTGGGTAAGGTGGTTTGGGTGGGTTGGAGGTGGCTAGGGCTGGTGGTGGGTTCAGGTAAGGTAGGTGGGTGGGTTCAGGCTAGGTCTGGTGGTAGGGGTGGTGGGTGGGGCTATTTTTTTTTATTTTTTTTATTAACATTTTCGACAGAAATTTCCGTCGAAAGGAAGTAAATTCCGATGGAATATTCCGTCGAAAGAGGTATATTCCGACGGAAAGTTCCGTCGGAAGAGGTATGTTTCGACAGAATCTTTTACGTCGGAAAATTGCGACGGACTCTCGATTAAAGTAAAAAACAGCGGCGATAGAAATAAATCCGTCGGAAAAGGTCGAATTTCCTACAAAGGGTTTTGCAACAGATTGATTCCACTGATTCCGACGGAATTCCGTCGGAAGACCAATTTCCGACGGAATTTCTGATGTTTCCGACGGATTTTTTTCGTCGGAATCAAGCTGTTTTCTTGTAGTGAACAAACTAGATGAGCATGGTATTATTGTCAGAAACAAAGCAAGACTTGTAGTTCAAGGGTTCAATCAACATGAAGGAATTGACTACGATGAGACATTTGCTCCAGTAGCAAGGTTAGAAGCCATTCGTTTATTTATAGCTTTTGCTGCTTATATAGGATTCAGGTTTTACCAGATGGACGTTAAATGTGCATTTTAAAATGAGGTCCTTGAGGAAGACGTCTATGTGGAACAATCTCTTGGATTTGAAAATCCAAAGTTCCCAAACCATGTTTACAAGCTTGACAAAGCTCTTTATGGACTGAAGCAAGCTCCTAGAGCATGGTACGAAGGTTGTCCAAGTTCCTTTTGACTAATGGTTTTAAACATGGTAAAATTGATAAAACATTGTTTTTAAAATCAAATGGAACTGACATCTTAGTTATACAGATTTATGTTAATGACATATTATTTGGTGCAATCAACAAATCTTTGTGTAAGTATTTTGCTGACCTCATGGGTGGAGAATTTGAAATGAGCATGATGGGTGAGTTAAATTTCTTTCTTGGTTTGCAAATTAAGCAAACTGAAGAAGGGATCATGATTCATCAACATAAGTACATTAAAGAACTGATCAAGAAATATAAGCTTGAGAATGCTAAGACCAATAGAACCCTTATGGGTGTTGCAACGAAACTTGATGAAGACCTATCTGGAACTTCAATTGATCAGACTATGTACCGAGGTATGATTGGATCTCTACTTTACTTAACAGCTAGTAGACCTAACATATCTTTTAATGTAGGTTTGTGTGCTAGGTTCCAAGAAAACCCAAAGGAGTCACATGTAATAGCAGTGATAAGAATTTTTTGTTACTTAAAAGGAACTGATGATTTGGGTCTCTTCTATCCTAGAAGTGACACATTTGAGTTAAATGGTTTTACTGACGCTGACTATGCAGGTGACTTGGTTAATAGAAAGAGCATTTCAGGTATGGTACAGTTTTTGGGACCGTGTTTAGTATCTTGGGTTCCAAGAAACAAAACACAGTTGCATTATCTACAGCTGAAGCTGAATATATAGCTGAAGTAGCATGTTGCTCTCAAATGTTATGGATAAAGCAACAGGTTAGAGATTTTGGTATTTTATTTGATTGTGTTCCTATTTACTGTGATAATACTAGTGCAATATGTATTATTTAAAGATCCAATTCAACACTCAAAGGTCAAGCAAATCCACATTAGGCATCACTTCCTAAAGGATAATGTGGAACAAGGGAATATTAGATTAGAATTTTGCCACTGAAAATCAAATTGCAGATATTCTAACCAAGCCCTTGAACAGAGAAAGATTTGAGAAATTAAGATTGGAACTTGAGATGATCAAGCTAACTTGATTGCTTCTGAAGTTCCAAGATATGGCAAAGTAAAAAATAATGCGAAAAGAGCAAAAAGGACATCTAGCACAACCTTGGTGTGCTAAACATAGCTGAAGTGTCACCGTTGGTGAATTCTTGGAGGTAGTTCACTAACACTTGAAAACGTGTGTGATTAGTATTGTACATTGCATATGTGTAGAAAGTGCATTCCAAATACATCTGAATTTTGGAAAATCCTATTTTTGGAAATTACTTGAATTTGGAAAGAAAAGATTTTGTAAAATATTCATCCTGATTATTTTTTGTAAAATAAATTGAAGTTGTTCAATTAATGACTGAACAGTAACCCGTTCATATCCCTTGCACCGCTTCATTAAATATAAAAGCATCTTTCACCCACCTTATCTCCTCACTTTCAAATCACAAAAACTACTCTCAGTAAAAACCATCAAACTCGCCAAAAGCCTAAACCTTCATCCATGGCAATTGAAACCAGCAAAAATTCCACTGAGAAAATTCCCACACCACAACATTCAGAAGAAGAAACCTCACCTCTTGCTATGGTGGTTTACGAATCACCTAAAAAGGATGAAGAAAACTTTGAAGAAGTTCCTACAGCAAACACCCCCACTATCTCTACCACAAAAAAAAACCCAATGGAGAAGGAGAAGGCGTCAGTAGTTGGAGAAGTTTCGTCTTCTGATGATTTACTCAATAGAATGAAGGAGTGGAAAGAAACGAAAGCAAAGGCAAAATCTCTAGCAGAGCACATCAAAGAAGTGGAGGACTTTACTGAGGGGGAATTCCAATCGGGTGAGGAAAACGATCCAATTGGAGAGGATGATGATCAATCCGAACTGGAATCTATAGCTGGAAGGTATGTTGTTGGTCATAGACTGAATTTAACTTGGTGTAAAAAAGCTAGGTTTTTGGAATTTCTTGATTTGCTACTTTTTCAAGGATAGGAGTATATGTTGTCCAAGTCTTCTAATAATTGCATGTATCCTCTTTCTACGAATGAATTCTGCAAAAATTTTAAGGTGAAACAAGGGGTAATTTTTAGTGAAATTAATAAAACTGCTATAATGTTGAACGATTGGGAACTATTATGAAGGTTCTAACTGAGGGTTATGAAATGTATGCTAAGGGAAAATCTGGTGTGAAAGTGGATAGTTTCTTAGGTGGTGATATTGTTGAGTATTTGGGAGGAAAAGGGGGAGTTAAAATTATGAATCATAATAATTTGAGCCCTATAAACAAGCTGTTGTTTAATTTAGTGAAGAAAACAATCCTACCTCATACTCAAAAGAAAAATGAGCCATGTTTGTTGGATATGGCTATAATTTTCTGTCTGGCTAAAAAGATCAAAATCAATTTTCCTTCATTGATGTATCAACATCTAGCCCACTGTGTTCCTAATAAGAACAAAGTAGGCTATGGGGCTATGCTGTCAAATGTCTTTGAGAGTCTTGGTGTGAAACTCAAAGGAGTCTATGGTGGATTGAAGGAAAAGGTAGAAAATGTGATCAATGAGCTTGAGACTCTGCTGGGAATAAGTTTGGCTGTTGTAGATGGGAGGATTAAGAAGGTGGAAGAAAAAGAAATGAAATCTGAAGCCAGTGGGAATAAGAGAGAAGGAGCAGCATCTGGTGAGCATGTGAGGAAGAGTAGGAGGCTTACGGCTAGTTCCTTTCCTTAGACCAACATGCAGAAGCCTTTGGAGTTGGATACTGATGACAAGGTTCTGGAAGGGTAGGTGGCTGAGCTTGCAAAGAGGCAGCTAAAAGAATCAACAGGGAGAGTTTAGAAGCTGGAAAAGAGAGTGCAGGGTCTTGAGAAGAGTCTTAAGGGACAGAAGTTAGAGTTCCAGAAGGCTATTAAGAGCTTGGAAGAAAAGCCGGAGGCGAGTATTGAAGCTCAGAAGGAAGACAACAAGAAGATTCTTGAACTTCTTGAATCCTAACCCAGCTTACCTCATGCAACCTACCTTAGCCTAGCCTAATCTTAGCCTTTTCATTTGTTTTTTTATGTCATGAACAATTTTAATTTCATTTTGGTATTTTGCAAACTTTGGTTTGTAACTATTAAAAGAGGGTGATATTTTGTTTTTAAACATCTATTTGGAACTTTTCATATACATGTGTGTTTTGTATGATATGAAAGCATGTGCAGGATTGTGTGAAGGAACTAGCTAAAGAGAGCTAGTCAGCGCTGCCTTCAGTTTCCCACACTCGATGAATTGTTTGTGGGGTTGTGGCTAGATGTTTAATACCTTAGATTGCCAGACTTTTTGATAATGCCAAAAGGAGGAAAAGAATAAGCAAACTTGAAAGTGGAAGTTGTTCTGGGTTCCAGTTGATAAAGTATCAAAGATTTCTTTGATATTGTGTAAATAATAGTTTAATAGTTCTGTTTTGTTCTGGTTTTGTTTATTTTTTTCTTTGTTATAGTCTTTCTTAAGTTATTTTTGTTTTAGTTTTTGTGTGTTTTTATTTTCTTGTTAAAAAATCAAAAAATACAAAAATATGACCTTTAATTGTATTTAACTTTCCTGCTCAAAGTTTGCTATGTTTTTCATCATCAAAAAGGGGGAAATTTTTGAAGCTTAAGAGTTATAATGATGAAGAATAAAAGCAAACTTCAACTAATGCGATTTCTCTAAGTGTTTAACTAGAACAGGTGAAATTAACTTGGGAAGTGGAATAGTAACCTGACTATGAAGACTCAAGGAGATCCTAGGGAAAGTTAAAGAAAGTAAAAGAAGAGTTCCACAATGGAACTAACTGAGTTCCCTAATAGGAACAATAAGAAAGGTTCCCTAACAGGAGCTTGACAGCAAGCTAAGAAGACTGGCTTGGTCTGCGTTGGAGACATCAAGTTCTATAAGAACTTTGCCTACGAAGTTCCAGCAAGGAGCCGGAGAATAAAGGACAACACGCAGGAACTTAGTCCTGGTCTGCGTGATGCCTAAGTATCCTTAACTTACAACGATTGATGAGATAATCCAGTTTTAGAATATAAGTCTTTTTGTTAAGTTTTTTTATCTAAGGATTATTGTAAATATGGTAGGAAAGTTTATGCATGGAATTTATTAGAATCTTGACAAAGCTTGGCAAGCTTTAAAAATGGAAAATTTATAAAAGATGAGTTTTAATTTTATGAAAAGATTTTTGAAAGATTTTTATTTTATAAACTGGTTTTACAAAATATTATTCTTTTCATAAATTATATCTTTGATAAGGTTTCTAAAAAGATTTTGTTTCAAAAAGATTTACATAGAAGTGTAATTATGAAAACGGCAGTTTTATAATTTATATCTTTTGAAAACCCTACGTTACATCCAGTATAACTTGCATATAAAGGAGAATTCATAATTAGCACAACTTTGTGAGTTTATGAGTGAAGAATCTGAAGAGAGCTTAAAGTGTAAGTTTTCCAAGTCTAAACTTTGTCATATTAGTTTTGGTAATCATGTGTAGCTTTCCAATCACATATTAGAGTCAAGAGTTTGTATTGTTTTGGTATTGGGTGATCAAGTGTTAAGTGTATTGCATACAGATTGTAGGCTTCAAGATTGAAGATGATTGTGTGAGCATTCAGGGAGTGCCGAGTGAATCTAAGTCAGGGACTTAAGTTAGGTAGAATACGGTTCTACTTTGTTGCAAGTTCAGACAGGAACTTGTGAGTAAAGGTCTGATTATAATAGGTTGTAACTAGGAGAGTTTGCCCTATTATAGTGGATTGGTTTGGGTTGAAATCCCTTGGAGGGTCGAGATTTTACTTCCAATTGGGCCTTGAGAGGTTTCTTCGTAAAATTTTGTGTGCTTTGCAAAGTTCTGTTCGTTTATATTCTGTTTTATTTCCACAAAAGTAGTCATTAGGAACTTATATATAATTCACCCTCCCTCTTATAGTGTTCGTCTCAATTAACAAACATATAAGAATTTAGGTATATATATCCTATATTATTAGATTATTAAACCTCACTTTAATTTGCTATCTATCAACCAATTTATGAGGCCTATTATTCCACTAATCAAAACTTGGTAACATGCATGGCCTAATTTGATGCTTTTAAAATTCATACAAGCGTATGATAAAACAATCATAATTGCTAGACCACTAGACCTAATAAGTGTATAGAATTGATTTGGTCCAAAATAATTAAATTAGTAGACTTAATAAACAACGTATGGCCTTAGACCATAGCTTATGCAATTTTTTACCTACACCCCAGTGTAGGTAAAGTTGCCTACACCCCCCTCCCCCCCCCCCCCCAAACTCCTCTTCACCTTTTTTTTAATGTTTTAGTGTTCTCCAACACAAATAACATATAATACTCTTTTTTTTTAAAAAAAAAAATAAATTAAAAGCTTCATCTCATTTAAATTTTGTACAGTACTTCATATATATGAAATTTTTATTGTTGTAGTTTTTTAAGATTTTCTTCTCTATAATTTTATAATCAAATAGGGGAAAAAAATTAGAGTAAATATATAAAATCGACAATTAACAATTATATCAAATCGTTGAAATGGAAAAGGAGAAAGAAAATAGTACCTCATCAAAGAATTTGCGTCGACGATGAAGCTTCGACAAGGGGTGATATGAATAGATGATGATGAAACCCCTATGAGAGAAAATATGAAGATTTTTGGAGAGAGGAAATGAAAATGATAAAAGTTTTAAGAGAGAGAAATGATAGAATGAAGCTTTTTAGAGGATAACAATGGTGATGAGTATAATTTGATTTCTTTTTTTCTTTTTCTTTTTTTGGTTTTTTTTATAACAAAAATGACGGATTTAATTGGGAGGTGGGTAAGAAGGGGGGTATAGGTAACCCTGCGTCCCTACTAATACTAGGGTGTAGGCATTAACTATTAGCTATTACATTGCTTACTTGCATTAGCTGTGTTTTGGGCTCATGTAGTGTTACAAAATGCTTTCAATAAGCTTGTCCTTTTTGAACAATCATTGTGATAGAGTATGTAGCGGCTTAAGTTTTTGGTCCGTTAAGATGGTCCTCTAACACATCGTGAGATCTCAGGGCGCAACGTGGTCATCCCCAATGGACAAACTTACGATTTTTTTTGTTTTTGAGTCTATTTTTGACCTATTTCACTTTCTATTTAGGAGTACTACCATAAACTTCAATCCATAGAGTACATTTGATTAACCTAGCGATAAGTTTGTAATACGTACAATAATCCTTATGATCTACAAACCTCTTCCTTCACTTGTTCGTGGACGTTGCTAACACATCACAAGTTGACTCGTTTTCTTCTCTCCTCTCTTTCACTTTCTAAACTTATAAGACCTATCTTTACTATGTAATATCTAAATTAATAAGATCTACTTTTAATCTATTGATTGATAAGAGTATACTACGTAAGACCCATTTTTCTGTCTAATTTCATAAGATTCATCATATTTTCTCTCATATTTAACTATTTAAAGTCATAACTCTCATAATACTCATTTTCTCTTTTATTTGCACTCTCAAACTTCACTCACTATTTTTGTAATTCGTGTGTTGAAAAGCTTCAGTTTAGTTTCGAGCTTTGATTTCATTTTTTTCTGCTTAATTTCCTTCTAAGCTTTCTCGTATTTTTCATTATTATTGTCAATAATTTTTTGAAATTCAATTTCTGGTACAATATAACGTTTATTTTTTCTCATATTCTTCAATTTTACCATTGCTTTATTTGTGTATGAGCAACTTCGAGCTAATTTGTAGAATATGAGCATATGCAAACAAAAGCTTTAATATCACCCTAGCAAACATCAACAACAATGATAATCCCAAAAATTCAACAAAATGTCTCACTCAACTTTCCAACAAACATTATTTATTTTTACTCGTCTACATAAAAAAGTATAAAAATTGAATTTTTAGTTCGTTTACTTTTTACCTTGGAAGATTTAACAGCATACAATATGCTCATATATACCATATTGCTACCGGTTATATCTGAGTAAGATATAACTGATTGTAAGGTGCACAAGCTTATGCTCCCAAATTACCCCTTTAATTCTTTTTACTATTCTCACTTTTATTTTTACAGCAACTTTTCTGTGTGGCTCAGTGGCTGCCAGCACAGGAACGGAATGAAAATCGATCATCATACTGATGTCATCCTTGGATCAAAGTCGTTCTACTGATAATATTGATTCACAAGCTAAGCTCCCCATTCATCATACCTGAAACCAAAATAAAAATATACAATCGATGTCAAATACCAATATAGAGAACAAAAAGATTAGAGAATCAGAAATGAAAAGGGGCTCAATATACTGCAAGCAACACTGATGAAGAAGCCTTACCAGGAGAGCCAAAGTGATCAATACTTACCCTAAGAGAGGTGAAAATTAGATAATACACCCGGGTGCACCATGCTCATGGTGCACCCGGGTAAACAAAAAAAGGCGGAAAGAACATATAGTGTTTGATAAAGAACATACCTATGTTTGACAAAGAACATACCTTTAATATGTTATTTGAGTGTGATCAGTGTGTTCTTTGAGTAAAATTATATGTTCTTTACATTATAACTTATGTTGTTTAACATATGTTGATAAACATATTTTTTTTTGGGTTTAATAATACAAAGTATGTTCTTTGAATTTGGCGTGTATGTTCTTTAAGGTCGTAGTGACGCCCAAATTCTATTTTTTATTATCATGTCATATTTAAATTACTTTTATTATCGCACATTCTTTGAGTTTGATTAGTGTGTTATTTAGGTATTAACTATATGTACTTTACAATATAAATTATGTTCTTTTTAACATTTGGTATTTTGAAATTTGATATTGAAATCTTAAATTATTTTTAATTGAAAAAAATGTTAGAGTAAAAAAACCTAATTATTATGGGAAGTTGAATTTTTTTTTGGAGAGATAGAAAACTATTTTTTGGGGAAATGATATCTTTGGTAAGGATTTTTTAAGAGGTGATCAACATTGGCATGACTCACATTCCGACCCGATCCGGCCCGAAATAGGGTGGGTTTGGGCAAACCTAAAAATGCATTTTTAGTTAAAACTCGATCCGGGTTCGAAAAAATCCCGAAAATCCGCTACTTTTATACGGGTTTGAGCACGAGAAATTATGATATGGCCCGGCCCTACTCGATTATTTATCACTTCTAAATTTTTCCGGTTAATAATGTGTAATTTTTCAGAAAATTTTATCAAGCTTTTATCTCGTTCTTTTTATTATATCTTTATGTTCTTTGGTAATGCATGTTTTTGTCAAATACAACCATGTTCTTTGTCAAATACATGTATGTTCTTTATGAAACACAGGATGTTCTTTCCGCCTTTTTTTTATTTATCCGGGTGTATGATGAGCACTGTACACCCGTGTGTATAAACCACAGATTACCCATCACTGACATAAAACACTAAACAATATTGGTTTAATGATTATTACTGCTCACTACAGAGTTTTAGTAATAGCAGTAAGTCGGAGATGTAATTAGATTGTTAGTTTTCCATATTGGTTATGGACTATGGTTAAATGAGTAAAGGTATGTGTTTTTACATAAGAGGTAGAGAAATAGAAGGAAAGAGAATACAAACCCCACAGTCGGAGCTATTTTGGTATTGTAGTGTGCAAGTGCTGGTTCAGCGCAACGCCGACACTGTGCTAAGACATCTTCTGCGGTCCCTGTAGTCCGGCGTGGAACACGATCTCCGATACTATGACCTCCGATAATACGACCGTCAGGAAGCTTCTTGTAATATTTTTTGAAACGTTGGGCACTAGCCATAAAACCAAATTACACTACTACATTTTAAATCAAATGCAACGGCTAAAAAGAGCTAGTGCAACAACTCATTTTATTGCCGTTGCATTAGATAAACCTAATACAACGGCATAAACTTTGTACATCAAAAGGTGGAGCTAACGCAATGGCTTTAAGAAGCCGTTGCATTAGGTGTACTAATACAACAACCTGAAAGGCTATTGCCACGGCAGTTCACTCCATATGAAAATGCGCTTAAAGTTCACTCTCCTCTCTCTTTCTCTCCTTCTCCCTATTCTCTTCCTCAAAGACGAAGGCAATCATCACCGCAGCCGCACACATCCACAACCACCGTCGCTCACAAAATTAAATTCTCTCTTTCTTCTCCCTCCTCATTCACTGATGGTCACGGTGGTGATGGTGGTCGCGAGTGATAACGACAATGCGGTTCGATTTTTAGGGTTTTGATTGGTATTCATGGTATGAGTTTCTTTAAACTTTCCTCTTTAAATTTTAAATTTAGGGTTCCTTTGCATAATTACTAGTTCAATTTTTTTTATTTTTTTCGATTTCTAGGGTTTCGATTTGTAACTGTTGGCGGTGGTGGAAAGCAGCGATGGTGAGTTTTGATTTGTTATTGATGGCGGTGGTGGAGAGTTGCTGAACTAACGTCGCTCGAACTCCAGCTTCGTGCCCTGATCTTTGAATAAGCCTTCTCTCTTTATCTCTCCTTTTTCTTCTTTCTCGCTACTTTCTCTCCCCTTTCAATTATTGTTCCAATTTCGACAATTATACACTTAGGAATTTTCAATAAATTGACAATTTAATGTTAATCAGGTTCATCATCATTGTCTGTGGTAGTTGGTGAGAGTGATTTGCTAATTGTTGGACCTGGTGTTCTTGGTCGCTTAGTAGCTCAATAATGGAGTCAGGTATAATCGCTATTTCTATTGCATTTCTACCTCTATTTCTTTCGTTTGTAAAACAATTTAATTCCTCGAGAACTCTCAGGTTAAATTTCTTTCGTTTTGGTTTCTCGCCTTTCTATTCTTGCCAGGTTCCTTATATTATCTTTAATTTCTGATTTTAGTAGTTTTTGTTATAAATTTTTGATCATATTGTTAGTATTTGGTTTGATTATTGGAAAATTGGTAGATTTTTAACTTGCAAATAAGTATGCTTTTGGTTGTTTTGTTGGTTATGGTAGTGCAAATGTTATGGTATAGGTAATGATGACAGTAGATTACTATAGTTGGTGTTATAATGTCTAGTAACTGGTGCTTATGGACGATTCATGTTGGAATTGATTAAGGGCATTGCGTTTCGTTTGGGTGAGATAGAGATAAATAGTATATTGATGCTTCGAAAATGAGCATGGTTACTGCTTATTAGTATATTACAATTTGGAAAAGTTGAACTATGTGTTTGGAGAATGGGGTGCAATGGGATTGGGGTCTTGATAGAAATTCCGTATGAGAACATGACACTTGAAGATGAAAACGATTTAATGATGAATGTAATGAAAGAGAGATTCCTTTCTAACATTGGTATATTCTGATATCTGCTTCTATTGGACGCATCCTCTGAAATAGTATTTGTTAAAATGCAAATGTCTTGCAAAATTTATAAGAATTTTAAATGAACCTAATGCTGTGAATGCCATTAGAATGCAAATAAAATGGAATGTGATCAAGGTCCTTGCTTAATCCAAGTGAGATTTATTTTCAGGCATACATTGAATGGGGTGACATAGAACCTGCATTTTAGGGAAGTTTTGACATAATTCAATATTTATCTTTGCTTTGCTTAATGCTCTGATCTTTGAAAATTACATTAATTGATTTGGGAAGGGTGTTGTGAGTTCTAGATGAAGGAGGGTTCAAAAGCTTTTGTGTCCTAAACTACTTGTGAAGATACATTTAACCAAGCTCATTTACCTCCCTCCTCTCCAAACACACACATATTTTATTTTGAACATTTAGTGGCAGAGATGTATTTGGCCAGCTTTATTTATTTTTTTCTTTCAATTTTGTTATATAAGCCAAAGCCACATGATGGTTATTCGTGTTGTTTGCTGCTTGTGTATTTCTTTTTTTGTATATTTCTTTTGTATTATGTTGTCTTTTATTTATTTACCATTTGAGTTTTTGAGATCTTAATATTGATTGGCATGCAAATAGATTGGTCTCCTATCTACTGTAGCTTGTTCAATTTGTTTTTGGCTTTGTGCTCTCTGTGGCTTGACTGTCCTTTCCTTCTCTGATTTTCATTTTTATTTTAAAAAAATAATGGTCTGAATTCTGCATTTTGGTGTTCTGCTGATCGTTGAATTCTAATAGTTTAAGCGGGTCAATACCAAGTTCAATTGGTAATCTTTCTAAGCTCTATTGGCTGGATCTAGCTGAAAACAAGCTTACTGGAACATTACCTGTCTCAAATGGGACTAAACCAGGTCTTGATATGCTGCATAGTTGTAAGCACTTGTATGTCTGACGCATTTATTTTTTGATTTGAAAATTTCTTGAATTCTTTATCGAATTTTACCATTATTGTATTGCCCTCTTTCAATCTTTTAATTTTCAATTTCTTGTTGTTTGTCTATTGATTGCCACTTTATCGGTCACTTTGGAAGATATCAACTCTCTGGCTCAATTCCACCTCAGCTACTCCATGAAAATATGACACTTGCTTATTCATTTGTAAGTACCCTGAAGGTAATTAAATAAGATATAGATGCTGACATTGACATATATTCACTGGTAACACTGCAAATTTGAACGAATACTGTTTTTTTTTTTTTAAATTGCATTGCAGGTTTGTTCTATATATGTATATCTCTAATCCCTTGTGTGTTCTTGCTTAGTTTTTACTCTTGATTCCAAACTAAATTTTCCTTTACTAAATCTCTGTCTTGTAATTATACTAGAATATAGTTGATTTTTTTCTTTTCTTGAATATCTCTATTTAGATTAATAGTTTTAGATAAATTTTTAAGGTGTATTGGGATTACCTCGGATTTACCTTATACGAAGCAAGGGTATTTTTAGTTGTAGTGCCATGTTATTGGTTTAAACCGCTGTTGTTAAATTGTTATGTTGTTTGGGTGGTGCTTGCTGCTATTCCTTTTACCTTGTACATTGATGTTGTCGTTTCTACTATATAATATGCTACTACATCTACTCTATAATGTTGCTACTACTGCCTCTGCTTTATAATGTTGTTGCTGCCCCTGCTGTAATTTTGCTGACTTGCTGCCTTGCAGACGATGACAACTCTCTCTCCAGCTACAAAACATCTCTCTCCCCGGTTTCAAGATAGATTTTGGTTTTTGTAGTATATGTTGTAGCAGCCAAACAAATGTTGAAAATATTGTATTTGGGAACAGTGATTTAGCTTTGATAGGTTTTTTTTTTTTTTTATCTCAATAAATTTAATTAGTGAAATTTGATTTTGTAACTCTTCCCTTTAAGAGCAATAATGTACAAACCTTCAATTTATATTAATGAAATTCCAATTTAATGGTCTTAATTATTGTTGTTGTTGTTATTATTACTATTATTATTATTATTATTATTATTATTATTATTATTGGCATTAGGGTATAGGGAACCATGGCATAAGAGTATAGGGAACCGTGGCATACGGCAATAATGTTGTCGTTGCATCAGGTGTTGATCTAATGCAACGGATCATTGATGCCGTGGCATTAGGTACCATATGCCGTTGCATTAGACCTACTGCAACGCCATCAGATGTCACGGTACATGGCCATTGCATTAGGCCTAATGCCACAGATTTTGACGCCTAATGCAACGGAAATGAGGTTGCAATAGGTCAAAAATGTAGTAGTGTTTAATTGAATGATAAAATTGCATAAATGTACAACCATAAGTCAAAATCCAGCTCATTTTATATAAAATAAGGATATATAATAGAACCCAAAAGAGAGGGAGCCCCTTTGTTTCTCATAATGGCATTTTGGAAAATATGTGATATTTTTCATTGGTGGAGACCGCATATATATGTGTCATGAGTGGGAGTCCCAAATCATTACACATAAACTTGTTTCTCACAATGAGAAACAGAGAATTACCCTCCAAAAGGAAATAAAAGGGATTTGTTAAACATCGCCCGCGTTTTTCTACATAAAGCCCACATTTTTTAAAAATGTTGACATTATTGCCCTTGTTTTAATTTTTACCGAAAATAAAATTTTTCACTCATAAAAAATGTGGAGCAGGACTGGATCGCCGAGTGAAACCGAAGAGCCCTCAACGTCGGGTAGATGCACCGTAGAGACGCCGTTGACGCCGGAAAAGGAGGTACGAAGCCATCTAAAACCACGAATTGGCGGCTGGCGTCCTGCCGGGACGCCGTGACCGTAGTGGTGGCGCCTAGCCAGGACGCCGCCACCGTGGCTCTGGCGCCTGGCCAGGACGCCGCCACCGTGGCCGTGGCGTCTGGCCAAGACGCCGCCGCCACGGTGGCGGCGTCCTGGCCAGGCGCCACCGCCACGGTGGCGGCGTCCTGGCTAGACGCCACCGCCACGGTGGCGGCGTCCTGGCTAGGCGCCACCACTATTTTTTTTTTTTTTTTTTTTTAATTTAATTTAAAATTTGTTTATTTTTTTTTTTTGTGTTACAATTTTTTTTCTTTTTTTTTTGGTTTTTTTTTTGTTTTGTTTTTAATTGTTTTAATTTGTTTTTGTTTTTAATTTTTTTATTTTTTATTTTTTTTTTTACAATTTTTTTCGTTTTATGTTTTTTTTTTTGTTTTTATTTTTTTGGTTTATTTTTATTTATTTAATCTAAAGTTTTGTTTATGTTTTTTATTTTTGTGTTTTGTTTTTTTTTTTTTTTGAATACTTTTTGTTTATTTCTTTGTTTGTTGTTTATAATTTATTATTGTTTTTGCTTTTGTGCTAATGTTGTGTCAAATGTATTAATTTAATCTACTCTTATGTGATTATATTTATATGTTATTGTTGCAGGATTATGGTGGAGACGGAAATGATTATAGTGGGATTTTTGTACACGATGGTCTGTTCGAAGATGCTCAACAAGCGGTTGATTGGGCGAAACAGGTTGCAATTAGATCAGGTTTTTGTTTAGTAGTAGCAACTCATAAATCTCAACGGGATGGTAGAATGGATCGCATTTTGAGATGCGACCGTTATCGCAAAAGGGAGGAACGAGATTTCAGTCAAGCGATTCGGTTTGATACAAAGCGGAAAGGTTGTGGGTGTCAGTTCAGAGTAAAGGTTCGACAACAGCAAAGGGGTGACGGTTGGGAAGTGAAGAGTTACGGTAAATGGGGGTATCACAACCATGAGATGATCGCATATGAAGTGGGTCATCGACAGTTAAGTGGCCTAAGTCCTGCTGCGAAACTAATTGTAAAAGAAATGAGTGATGCTCAAGTGAAGCCTGCTAAAATATTAGCATCTGTGTTGGAGAAATTTCCTGAAGACCAGCCAAACCGAAGACACATCTACAACGTCAGACAAAAATTGAGGTTTGAACGGTCAGAGGGAAGGAACCCTATACAGCAGCTTCTACAACGTCAGACATAAATTTTCGGATTCTAATTTTCGTATTTAGTTTTCCCATTTAAATGTGAACCTGTATTTAGTTTTCGTATGCCCACTAATTACAACTTAAAATAAAAGTTATAAAAACTAAAAATATAATGTCAAATTCTAAGAACTTAAAATAATAATTATAAGAACAGATAATGTTAACTTTTACAAACAACTAGGAAAATGTTTTATAAATGCACTGCCGACATATCAATAATCTCTCTGTGACGCCCACTGCCACTGCTCAAGGGCCCGTTCCAGTTCATCAATAACAGCTCTGCCTGTTGCAGTCGTCATGTTGTCCCTCTCCTCAAAAAGTCTGTGTCCCAACTGCGTCATCTTTCCCATCCACTACACATAACAAAACACATAAAATTCAATAACGACGTATTATGAGACGTATTATATGAAAAAAAACACAACTACAAATGTTTTATGAGACGTACCGCATCCACGGCAGTGGGCGGTGGCACATCATCATCATCGGCGTCGTCGCCGTGGTGGACGTCTCTGATCAACCTCGGGTGCGAGTGCCGGTTGTACCACTCCATGTAGTGCTGGTCACACATGGCAGCCACCCCAGTTGGCGGCCGCTGCAACTGCTCAATCCATATGCGGGCAACCATCGGAAACTGCTCCCACGTGCCAATCATGCTTGCCGGCCATTGGACGACGTACTCCTTCAACGACGCAGATCGGACGGCCTTACTGGGCCATGCTGGTGGAGGAGGAACAACTTGGACATATCCAAGCTGGCGAAGACAGCGCTGCGGCATGTACGCCTCTACGATCTCACGATACTGAATCAGTCCCGTGTAGAGGGTCCTGGGTACCCTATTACTAGGGTTCTGGCCGAAAGGCATCCAGTTCACCTGCACATTTTTTAAAATTAGTAAGATTCATACAATAAACACATCAAACTATAAAAGTAGAAATAATTTAAACACTTTACCTCTAATGGGGACATCCTGTCAAGCAATAACCGTATCGATCGCAGGCGGTCAATGGACTTCTTCTCGACACGCGGACTCCACGCACAGGCACGTGGCTGGCCATCCCCAATAGGAACCGGGTCGCGGTGTGGTCGAAACGCCGGGAAATACTCGTATATCCACGTCTGTAACAACGTCATACATCCAGTGATACCTGCCGCATCAGCCCGGCTCGAGAATCCTAACTGGCGATACATGTACGCTAATGTAGCCGACCCCCAAGAAAACTGGCCTACTCTGTCGGGCTCACACGCGTCAACTATGTCGCGTGGCCTGAGCTTGTTTCCGCTCTTATCCGGAAACAAGGTACACCCGAGAAGAAGAAAAACATATGCAGCCAGCTGTGTGTCCTGCGTCCTACGTGAAGTGGGGTGCAAACATCGCTGCAAAACTGCTGCGATCTTAACACCGCCGTGATCCCACACACCAAGTGCCGCTGTGTACAGCGCAGCCCTATCCACCGCCAACAGCTCCGCCAATAAATCTGCCTGATCCGCATCTGTGACAACAGATGCTCGGTTTCCCTCTACGGGAATCCCAAGGATGGCCTCGACGTCATGCAACATGATCGTCATCTCACCGAACGGAAGGTGGAAAGAGTTCGTGTCCGGCTGCCATCGCTCAACGAAAGCCGTGATCAGCGTCGAGTCAATCCTCTCATGCATGGTGGCAGGAAGGTGGCTCACTCTAGTGGCCCTCAATCGGCCGACCATCTCGCTCTCCTCCGGCCAAGCCTCAGCCCAACTACACAAGAAGTTACAAGTCCTCTCCCGGGTTTGGCATTTCAAAATGCCGCTATCCAAAGCCCGCTCTTGGTCCTCCCAAATACGGGTAGCGATGTGTCCTAGAAAGCTAGGAATCACACTCCCGTCTATAGGTCCCCCAGCCACCTCGCCCCTCACCACCCAAGAATCATTAACGGCCCTCGACCGTTTTCTGCTAACCGCAGACACAGTGGACGCAGATGATGTGCCAGATCTACTAACAAATCTACCATCTCTACCCTTACGCACGTCTACCCTACGCGTCTCATACACATCATCAAGCCTCTGACTGAATGGACCGTAATCATCATATGGTCAACTCTGATCGTCCACATCCTCATCTGCATCCTCCTCCTCCTCCTCCTCATCACCATCATCATCTTCATCATCCTCAGAATAGTGCACCCGTTCTCTACGAGCCGAGGCCGAAATACCACGGGATCTAACGTGTCTGGGCCCCGAGCTCTCCATTGAGTTCATCGTACTTCTCATAATGTCCATACTCTTCCCAGCCCCAGAACGAAAATACGATGCCTAACACAAAATAACAAAACATGTAATATGCAATATAAACATGTAATATAAACATAAAAAAAGTAATTAAAATAAATAAATAAAACAATATACATATGATGGAAAATAAATTAAAAACATTACAAAATATTAACAACCTAAAAATAAAAAAATTAATAACCTAATAAATAAATAAATAAAAAATTGGAAAAAACAAAGCAAAAAAAAAAATTACCCAAAAAAAACAAATTGGAAAAAACAAAGTGAAAAATATAAAATTATAAAAACTTAAAAAAAGAAGAACATCAAAATTTTAAAAAAAATTTATAACAAAAAAAAGGGAACATAAAATTTTTTTTAAGTAAAAAAACTAATTCAAAAAAAAAAAAAAACAAGAACATAAAATTAAAAATTAAAAAAAAAAAAGAGGAACATAAAATTTTTTTAAAAAAAACCAACAAAATTTAAAACAAAATAAAAAAAAAATCAGAAACATAAAATTTAAAATTAAAAAAAAGAAAAACAAATTTAAAAAAAAATCAAAAAAAAAAATAATTATTTTCGAAAATTAAATTTCAAATTTAAAACCAAAAAAAAATTAAAAAAATAAATAAAAAGGCGGCGGCGCCTAGGCCAGACGCCGTGACGGTGGCGGCGGCGTCTAGCCCAGACGCCACTACCACGGCGGCGGCGCCTAGGCCAGACGCCGGTGCCGTGGTTCTGGCGCCTGGGCCAGACGCCACCGCCACCGTCACGGCGTCTGGCCTAGGCGCCGCCGCCGTGGTAGTGGCGTCTGGGCTAGACGCCGCCGCCGTGGTGGTGGCGTCTGGCCTAGGCGCCGCCACCGCCTCCGACCTTTTTTTTTTAATTTTTAAACACAAAATTAATAAAAAATACCTTCTCGCCGGAAAACCGCTGTCCACCCGCCGCCTGTGCCGCCACTTCCTTGCCGGGCCGCCTCGACATCGCTCGGAAAGTTTTTTAGAGAGAGAAAGTGGAAGTAGAGAATTGAGAGAAGAAATTGTGTTTTTTACTTTGAGGGCAAAAGTGACAATTCACTCTAATTTTGTGGGCTTTATGTGGAGATTCGCGGGCGATGTTTAGCAATTGAGAAATAAAATAATAATTATGTTTACCTGGTATCAGACTTATAAATTGTTCTAGATCTTAAGGTGTAGTCATCTCGAGTGCTCGTCATTGCTAAACTCGCTCTTAGGAATTTCTCTTTATGAATTATGCGGAAAACAACGCTACCAATTTCCATTAGGGGTTCTAAGTCGCTAAACACATAATGAAATCAAATAGCATAATCCAAAATACAAATTAAAACTAATAATTCATATAAATCATATAATAATCAAACAAAAAAAATCAAAGAGGTCTAATTTCATAGTTCAATTCTAATATTAATGGGTTCTGCAACCAAATTTGATTCAATTATCACATAAATAATTTAAGGGATTATCAAATTTCTAGCAACATAATAGCTGGTTAAGATCTTTCATATAATCTTAGTAATTAGAACCAATAGTTCAAATTTTCGAACCCTAAACTTCCTACTCTGAAAATTAAATTAAATTAAACCCTAGATTGTGAAATTGACATGATGATTACAAACAAAAACAACAATTTACCTCAAAACCTGCTTCAATGGTGGATACAAGTATATGGAGAACGTTGAGTGCGCTTCTATGGATAACTGAGAGAGAGAGAGAAGAAGGGGAGGTAAGAGGTACGTTCATCCGTTTTTTTTTTTCCTTTTACATTATTCGCAATTAAAGTTGTTCAATAGATAGAATTTAGAATTTAGTTGGACATAAACTCCCTTGAAAGAGAGGGGCGAGATTACCTCGAGAGAAAGATTGACCTACCTTGCAATAAAGGCTTTTCACCGGCTAACAAAGGCCGATGATCTAGCAAATCAGTGCTCTAAATTACGAATTTTCGATCAAGAGAACGAAATTGTGGATGTTGGAGATGTTGCGGATGAAGAGTCAGAGGAACGCGTTGCCCTAATGTTGGTGGGGAAATTGGTGACGGATCGCAATTACAAATTTGACATATTCAAAAGGACCATATCGCAAGCATGGGCTGTTTCGAAGAGAGTTGTGATTCGAATTATTGGTACGAATTTGTTTGCCTTTCAATTCTTCCATTGGAAGGGCAGTGAAAAGATTTTGGAGGGACGTCCATGTTGTTTCGAAAATAATTTTCTGGCCTTTAGTGAAGTTGGAGGGGACGAGCAGCCATCGGATGTTATGCCATCTCATTCCCCATTCTGGGTGCGGCTGGAAAATTTTCCTTTTAATAAACGATCCAATAGCATTGTTAGGGCAATTACAGGATCAATGGGCGAAATCATGGAGATTGAACAGGATGACTTTGGATTGGACAAGTACAGGAGAGTGAAAATTAACCTTGACATCTCGAAACCCTTGAGGAGATTCATAAACATGAGAGGGAAGGATGGTCGAGTGCTACGTATTGATTTTAAGCATGAATGTCTTCCGTTCTTTTGCTTGATGTGTGGGTTTATTGGACACAGTGAAAAGGACTGCCTTAACTGTTCTGAGGATGAGCAGAGTCCAGGGCTGGGCTAGAGCTTGCGACTTCATGCTACCCCGTGCAAGGGGAGACAGAAATTAATTGAGGAGGCTGAAGAGGTTAAAGCGTGCAGGCGGGTGCTCTTCGTGCATAAACCTGAAAATTCCAGTGAGAATAATAAGATGGAGGGCCTTGAACAATTAAAAGAGAAGGAAGTAACAGAAGGGGAGGATAACTTGGCGCAAGCTAAGCCTTCTGAGGTGGCAACAATTGTTGCTTCTGAGAACAATCAACTGTTGGCTCCGTCCCTAGGAGATGGAATTCGTAGTGGTGGAGATATTGATGGACTTTCTGTCACGCTCTCTGTAAACCAACTTAACCCCCCCTTTTCATTCATGGCTGCTTAGAATTCCAGAAAAGGAATGGCAAAGAAGGGTTTGAAGCTTCGAAGAGAGGGAAGTGGCAAATTTGAAGGGAAAGATGCTAGTGGGGAGACTAAGTGTGGAAGCGAAAGGAGTGTTTCAAGGGTGATGAGATGGGTGTTGATGAGATATCGTAATGAGCTCGTGTACATAGTACATTGGCTCTTGATGAAGTAGCGTGTGTTGGAGTGTCCAAACGCCGCGAAAAGCCATATATAATTTATGTTGGAACTGCCGAGAGGTGGGCAACCCTCAAGCAGTTAAAGCACTCAAAAGATGGTGCTTACATTATGCCCCGGAGGTACTTTTTATTTCTGAAACTAAAATAAATAAAATTGAGTCTGAAAAATTAAAAGATAGGTTTGGTTTTGACAGTATAGGTGTTAGTAGTATTGGTTTGGCCGGAGGTTTGTGCTTGTTTTGGAAAAGTGATTGTATTACTTTTTCTTTAGTCTTGATGTCTCAAAATCATATTTGTGGTGACATATTAGAACTTAATGGCAAGTCTTGGAGCTTTGTAGGCTTGTATGGATAAGAGTCGGGGAACAAATCTCCTTCGGGATTTATGCTCTGCTTTTGAGGGACCTATCTTGATTGGAGGAGATTATAATGAAATTTTGAGTTACGAGGAGAAAGAAGGAGGGGCTGACTTGGTGAGAAGGGAATTTAATGAATTTCGGGTTGCTCTGGAGATTGTGGCTTGTGTGATCTTAGATTTGAGGGAAAGTGGTTCACTTGGGAAAAGGGTTTGACTGAGAGTATAATGATCCGTGAACGCCTTGATAGATTTTGTGGCAATGAGGAGTGGTTTAATTTGTTTCCGAAGGCTTCGGTTGAACATTTAGTACGCATTAAGTCTGATCACTCGGCAATTCTTGCTAGACTTAAGCGACCCAAGAAGAAGCGCAAGAGAGGGAAGAAGAATTTTAAATTCAAAACAGCATGGCTTCTTGATGCTTCCTGTGATCTTGTTGTTCGTGAAGTTTGGGGGGGGAGGGGGTTCTGCTGAGCGCCCTGTTGCAGAGAGGTTGGAGAGTTTGTTGTCTGCGCTTAGAATGTGGAGTGGTAAAAATTCAAGAATATTGATAGGCAGATCGATGATACGGAGAAAACATTGAAAGAAGCGCAAGGAGGGGTGATATCGGAGGAAAATTTAAGCTTTGTTCGACCCTGGAAGCAAAGCTTGATGAGCTTGGGAACAAGCAAGAGGCTTATTGGTACCTTCGCTCAAGAGTTTCTGAAATTAGAGATGGAGACCGGAACACAAAATATTTTCATCATAAAGCATCTCAACAACGGAAACGGAATGAAATTAAAGGGCTTTTTGATGAGAATGGGCAATGGAAGGAAGAAGAAGAATATTTTGAGGACATTGCTCAAAATTTTTATGAAAATCTATTCATGTCCTCGGAGTTGTGCTTTTCTAATGTTAACAGAGTTCTAGAGGCTGTCTCACCGAAGATTTCTGATGATGATAATGCTTCCTTGCTGCGACCTTACACGAAAAGATGAAATCTATGCTGCTATTTGTGCTATGCATTTTTGTAAAGCTCCAGGACCTTACAGACTTCATGCCATATTTTATCAGAAATTTTGGCATGTGATTGGAGATGATGTTTTTCGTTTTGTCAGTAGCATTCTTCATGGTACGTGCTCCTCTAAACTGGTTATTAATACTAACATTGCTTTAATTCCGAAAGTCAAGTCCCCTATGTTTATGTCAGAGTTCCACCCTATTGCTTTGTGTAATGTATTATATAAAATTGCTTCTGAGGCTGTTGTTATGCGCCTAAAATCCATATTACCAAATGCCATCTCGGAAAATCAAAGTGTTTTTGTTCTGGGAAGACTCATCACTAACAATGCCTTGATTGCAATGGAGATCTTTCATACGATGGAAAAACGGAGTAAAGGGAAAAAAGGGACTATTCTTTGAACCTTAACATGAGCAAAGCCTATGACAGAGTTGAATGGCATTTTCTGGAAAAATTGTTGTTAAAAATGGGTTTTACGGAGAAATGGGTTGGTCTTTGTGATGGACTATGTTTTGACAGTCTCATATTCTTTTATTATCAACTGAAATGTCACTGGCTCGGCTGTTCCTTTTAGAGGGTTGAGGCAAGGGGACCCTTTATCTCCGTATCTTTTTATAATGGTTGCAAACTCTTTCTCGGCTCTTATTGAAAAAGCCTCATATCACAGATTAGTACATGGTGTAGGTGCTAGTCGGAAAGGACCAAAAATCTCTCATCTCTTTTTTGCTGAAGACAGTTTGCTATTTGCAAGGGCCAACCGAGAGGAATGCTCTAAGATAATTGAAATTCTCAACTTTTATGAAGCAGCTTCCGGACAGAAAATTTATTACGGAAAATCGGAGGTATCTTTTAGCAAAGGCGTTGTGGTGTCGAAACAAGAAGAGTTGGTTGATTTACTTAAAATGCGACTTGTCAACAAGCATGACAAGTATCTTGGTATCCCCTCTGTAATTGGAAGATAAAAAAGAATGGTTTTTGTGGCTTTGAAGGACAAAATTTGGAAGAAGTTGCAGGGCTACAAAGAGAAACTTTTGTCGAAAGCAGGGAAAGAGGTCCTCATAAAATCCGTTATCCAAGCTATTCCGACTTATCTTATGGGAGTATATAAGTTGCCTTCTAGTGTAATTGATGAGTTGCGTTCACTTACGGCAAAATTTTTCTGGGATAATTTGGATAGCAGGATGAGAGTGCATTGAATGAATTGGGATGCTCTCTGCAAACCAAAGTGTTTGGGTGGGATGGGCTTCCGGGACTTGGCTGTATTCAATGAGGCACTCTTAGGAAAACAGGCATGGAGACTTCTTTTGAAGCCTGACTCTTTGCTAGGCCGAGTGATGAAGGGCAAGTATTACCTGAACTCTGATTTTTTGGAGTCTTCTCTGGGGTTGAATTGCAGCTATTCTTGGCGAGGTATTTGGGGCTCAAAGTCTCTTGTTAAGGAGGGTCTCATTTGGCGAGTAGGGGATGGTTCGAAGATAAAAAATTTTGAAGACCCTTGGCTTGCTGATGACAGTGGGAGATTCA